AAAAAAAAAAAGAGGAAGACAGTTGAGTCGGTTGGGAAAAAAAAAAAGGAAAAAAAAAAAGAGAAGAAAAAAAAAAAAAGAAGAAGAAGAAAGAAAGAAAAACAGTTGCGTCGGATGGGAAAAAAAACAGTTGCGTCGGATGGGGGAAAGGACAATTACGGCGGTTGGTCGATCAATCAAAAACCGTCGACGGAGATAATGAAGAGGAGGGATCACTGTCGATCTGGATGTATCTGACGGTAATTGTGTTCAGATGCATCGATCTATAGATAAAAAAATCATTCACTCAGTCATCCTCTTTTACCGCGCTTCTATCTAACTTCCGACTCGTCCTCCTCCTGGGCGCATCCACACTGTGACCTTCTTCGATTGAACCTGGACGTACATACCGTCAGATACATCCATCAAAGTACTGGTGTGACCATCGTCTTATTCCTTCCTCGAAGGAAAAACGATCACACGTATGCACTCTCACGGCACGAGTCAGCCAGCAAGCGCGCAACCTGGCACTCGTCGAACTGGATGTATCTGACCGTAAGTGCAGTCAGATGCAGGGCATTTTCTCCTCGGATCCGCCTGAACGACACCCACCTACTGGTCCAGCGACTGAGAAATGAAGATTGGGAATTGATTGGATTGGGAAGAGCGAGGCTAATCGTCAGCTAGGCTGAGATCACCATCACGCGACACATAAGCACGCTGTAAAACAACACGCCAAAGTATGTGAAAAACTCGGAAGTAATAAACTCTTTTGAAGATATGAGTGAAGATCCAAGAGAAGCTCTTCGAATGAAAGACTAAGCTCCAAGAGAAGGCCATAGCCAGGCTTCCCTGGCGATGGCTGTCTGGCTGCCCTCGACCGGTTTCGGCTAGAGCCAGATCTAGCCTCATCAGGAGGGAAACATTCCGAGGTTTCCCCTCGACTGATTGAGAAATGAAGACCGACGGCCTCGCCCAAATTTGTTTTTTTTTTTGTTTTTTTTTGGCCTTGCCCTCAAATAAAAATGCAGATCGCCGACCTATTTCTGCTGACTCTCCGCGCAGCGTTGTCGTCCTTTCACCTTTTTTTTTTTTTTTTTTAAGTACATACGCACACATAAAGCGTTCATGCACTTGCCTACACTTTTTCATTGATAGGTTGATTGATTGATTGATTAATTTTTTGATTGATTGATTGATTGAATGATTGATTAATTGATTGATTGATTGGTTGGTTGATTGATTGATTGATTGATTGGTTGATTAATTAATTGATTGGCTGTTTGGTTGATTGATTGAATCGTCATATGTATCGTCAATTCGTCAATCAAGCAAATCCCTTTACTCGACACTTCCCTTCTCCTCCTTTCCATGATGGATTGATTGATTCGTTTGATTGATTGATTGATTGTCGATGTTTTCCCTCTCCTTTAAATGATTGATTGATTTGAGTGATTGAGTGATTGATTAATTGATTAATCGATTAATTTTTGATTAATTGATTAATTGATTAATTGATTAATTGATTGCTTGACTGATTGAGCGAGCGAGCGAGTGAGTGAGTGATTTGATCCGATTGATTGGTTGATTCGTACACGCGTGGAAAGCTCTTCAATGCATCATAGCCGCGCATACGAACTCAGCTTACGCGCAAATTCCCCGACGCGTTCCGATCGGTTGCGCTCCGTTCCGATCATCCTCAGGGGGGTTTCCACATGACCGTGCCTTGCGGCGGCCCGCCGACACTCCTCCCACTCCTCCCACCTCCCAGTCGTCCCAGTCCCTTCCCTTCCCAGTCCTCCCATCCTACTGAGTATAAGAGAAGAGAGAAGAGAGAAGGTGCTCGTCGTCATAAGATGCTCGAGCGCGCCAATGAAGGGAGGTACAACACGACCCAATGAAGGGAAGGGAGGTGAGGGGGACCTAGAAAAAGAGAAGATGGGGTTGGGTGGGTGTGCTAAAAGCGCGCGCGCCGGCGAGAGGAAGAAAGGAAGGGGGGGGGGGGGGGGGGGGGGGGGGGGGGGGGGGAGGGGAAGGGGAAGGGAAACGAAATGCGCCTTCTCCTCTACGGAAACTAGACTCGGAACGAATTTTAAAAAAACTGAAAAAAAAAAAACTCATACACAGGCAGCGTATTTTTTTTCGAAAATATATATTATTATTTACCGTTATATATATTCCATAAATATATAAATATATATAAGGTTTCAGCCCTCCTGATGAGTAGGTCGGTGAAACACTCCGGCTAAACAGTTTGTCACACCCCCTCGTTTGCTGTCCTCTTCTCTTCTCCCTCTCCCTCTCCCTCTCTGCCTACGGTTTACCGTAGGCAGTTCTCTTTGACGATAGATGTAGAAGATTAAAAAAAAGAATTCATTTTTTCCTTTCTTTTTTTCTTTTTTTTTTCGCTTTTGCGCTCTAATATTCTTGTGCCAATATATCGTCACACCGCGTATCGGAGCGCAAAGGCGAAAAAAAGACAAAAAAAAAAAAGGAAAAAAAAGTAAGGAAGGAAAGCTCCGCATGTTCATCACCTCTTACGTACAAGGCCGGCCACGTGGATGATATATATTTTTTTATTTTTTTTTCCAGACCTGCAACGACTCATAAATAGGTAGAGATACGTTCGGCGCGAAGGAAGACAGAGCATCCCCTTCTTCTTTTCTTTTTTTTTTTCTTTTTTTTTTCTTTTCTTTTTCTTTTCTTTTTCTTTTCTTTTTCTTTTCTTTTTCTTTTCTTTTTGGTTGGAGAAAACATCTGACGGCCAAAGGAAAAAAAAAAAAGATCTCTCCTGCGATGGCAGCAGATTCGTCGCGTGTCATTTCCGGAAACACACCTCAAAGCAAAATACAAAATATCAAACATAATAAATATCATAATAATAATTATATTAAATTAAATATATATTATTATTGAATTATTCAAATATAAATGAAATGTATGTTAATTATATAGTCAAAATATCCTGACGAGTAGGTAGGTGAGAGTCCGATGAAACAGTCCGACTGTCACAGCCCCTCGTTTGTTGTCCTCCTCTCCCTCCCTCTCTGCCTCTGTTTGACGATATACATGCCAATATAATAATATATAGTGAATATATTTCTTAATATATTATTTAAATATTATCCGAGGCGTAGCGTTTTCATCATCGTTCCACAATACCTCACTATCTTCTTTTTTTTTTTCTTTTTCTTTTTTTTTTTCTTTTTCTTTTTTTTGTTGCTATTTTCCTTCTTCTTCAATACCTGCCCCCGATTTCAGGACAGGACTGAGGTCCCACTGGCACGGATTAACGGCCTCGCCACACGGCACACGAAACGAAAATTAAACGAGTGAATGAATCTGCCCAGCGCAGGCGGCCAGATGCATTCGTTCTTATCCATAGTAACGGATGAATCTTTCCCGTTCCGTGGGAATATGCACCTCCTTTTTTTCCCCCCATTTCGTCCCCCTTCTTTTCCAACTTCTTCAGCCTTCGGGCCTCTACTTATACTACTCGCCATCCGACAACATTTTCATTGCATCTGGACCCCTTCTTCGTCCAGATTCATTCAAGATGTTGGCACATTTTTGCGAGTAGTGCAACTTCCCCTTGGCCCTTTCTCCTTCTGTGGGGAGATGCACTGCGTCAGAGAATGTATCTTGTTACCTTCTGTGGGTAGATGCGCTTGATTTATATCGTTTGCCCCGAATGCATCATGCCACGAAACCGAAATAGATCCAAATACTCTCAGGATATGCATCGCTTTTTCCTTTTTTCTTTTATTGTTTTTCATTGTTTTTATTGTTTTTTTATTGTTTTAGAAAGACATAACTGTGTAAAAACCCGTCGACCATTCGGACACGTTAGCATAACCGAGCATAACCGACCGAATTACTTAATTAATTCATTAATTAATTAATTCATTAATGAATTAATTCATTCATTCATTCATTCATTAATTCATTGATAATAGCGGGAACTCATTCATTTTTCAATAATTAATTAATAAGTAATTAAATTATTGTTAATTAATTAATTCATTCATTCAGACCATTCACATACCATCGGTCCAATCTTCAATCCGCGTCTAAGACGGCGCGTTAGCATAAATAACATTCACTACAACCGGAAAAAAAAAAAAAAAAAAAAAAAAAAAAAGACCGTAAAAGAGCTCTGCTCCGCGAGTCCTTGTTTTTTGTATATTTCGACCCCGAGGAGATGAACGTGGACCAACAAGCGTCTAGGATCATATCACAAACAGACAAGACAGAAGGTTTTTATTTAAATTTAGAAAAAGGACAAGAGAGAAGATAAAATATGCTCAGCGATAGGAGATCATTGCACTCACACTGATGATTCGGATCTGATTCACCGGCCCCAACAAGAGCGCCTGCAGTACTCAGCAACAACACGACGAAGAGACACGTGGCCTTCCAAGCGACCCCCGCCATCTCTCTCTCTCTCTCTCTCTCTCTCTCTCTCTCTCTCTCTCTCTCTCTCTCTCTCTCTCTCTCTCTCTCTCTCTTCACCCTCCAAGCATCCGGTTGTGGGTTGTGCTCAGGAAATGTTCTCTACGTGTAGCACCGGGACAGCTGGTGATGTGACTGACGCGGCTGTAAGATGATGCTAACGCGGGCGCGGGCGTAAGATGCCGCGGAAAAACGTTTATCGCGCATGCTCTCACGCCACACAAAAGAGAGAGAGAGAAACAGGGGGCGGGGGGAGAGAGAGAGAGGTGCGCAAATGGACAGCGGGATCCGCAACTACGGCTGCTGGAGCGTTATTCAGCGCGCGATATCCACAAAGCATCGATTTCTGCCACGTGAGGGGAGAGAGAGAGGGTATGCTTCTCCTCTCTCCCTTTCTCCATTTCATATCTCACATTGATCGCATCCAACAGATAGAACGCGCCGCGTCGAGGAAGCCCACGCCTCACATTTCCCTGATCCACCATCTCTCTCTCTCTCTCTCTCTCTCTCTCTCTCTCTCCTCCTGTGTGTGCGCGCGATTTACGTTTCCGCTGGGAGAAGGTTGGATATCACGAAACACTCTGCGGTAGGAACCCGAGCGCCGATCCGGTCGTTCAGAGAGGTTTCACCCACCCACCCACCTCCCCTCCGCTGCTCTCCCCTACCTCCTCCACCTCTCCTCCGCTGCTCTGCTCCGCTATTTCGCATCCCGTCAGCTCTCTCTCTCTCTCTCTCTCTCTCTCTCTCTCTCTCTCTCTCTCTCTCTCTCTCTCTCTCTCTCTCTCTCTCTCTCTCTCTCTCGAGCAACGAAGGAGAGGATTGCGCTCGAGCTCTGGCCACCTGAGCGCGCTGCTCTTCCTTCCCCTTCCCCTCCCCCTCCCCGCCGTCTGCGCGCATTTCCCGCCTTAGGATGCTTCTCTTCCCCCTACGCCGCCGTCCTCCTGCCCCTCCGCAGCCGCTCCCGTCTTCCACATCTCACCCCGGCGCCTTCAATCCTCCCTCCCTTTACCGTCAATGCACTCCTTGCGCCGCAACCCCCTCCACATTTTCTTCTCCCTCTCTCGCTTATTACCCCCCC